GGAGAACAGATACCTTAAATAGAAGAAACAGGATTTCTCCCCGAATCTCTTCACTGTGTTAAAGGAATAAAATAGAGCATTTTAGTTATAATGTGGTAAATGCATGGAAAAAGGAACGTGTTATTTTCGAAGTCTTCTTTATTTGTTATCTTGGCAATTGAAGACCTTCAACAAGATTGGTAATGAGGGTAAGGATTATTCTGCTGGCAGTTTAACAAAACTGCTAAGCAGTGAAGCTGCACTTAAAGAATGGCAGAATTTTCCTTCCTACTCTCAGTAAGCAAACAGAAAATAAACATTACCCAAAGTATGTATCTAAATCTCAAAATTGATATGTAAATTTTGTAAACAAACAGCAGAGTTTTGATATGAGAAACAATAGAAGAATGAAGCTCGATTTCACCAAATTCGTCCGGCCGTAACAAGTCATACACTGTTTGGCTACCGAGAAACACAAATCATTTTCTCAGGAAGCAAACAGAAAACAACCAGTTGTGGGTATAAATTGACACTTGCACAGATGCACTCCATGTGTTTGATGAAATGACAGAGTGAATTCTTGATACTTTGTTGAGTTGATAATTCCACCCATTTGGATCCCTTAAGCTTCCAAAATTATAGTTTTTCCTCCAAAGCCTTGCTAAGTATGATTTCCTACAAAATCTTCACCAATCACATTAAACTAACCAATTTCACACAAAAACTATGCAAATAGAGATAGATTATATATGCAAAATATGAATCTATCAAGAGGCGAGACGAGGAAGTGAGGGTGGAAGGCGAGGAGAGAGCGGAGGAAGGCGGGGTCGGAGGAGATGGCCTTAGAGAACTGAGAGAGGGCGTAGGACACGTGGACGCTGGAGATTGGGGGTTGGAGAAGCAGAGCAAGCAGACGGAGCCGCCTTCCGCCATGCTTGGTTAGGAGGAAGAGCGTGGATCTGTGGCTCTCTGAGCACGTTGTAGTGTAATCTTCTTCTTCTTCTTCATGGTAGTACTAGTCTCTGAGGAGCCCCTGTTTCCACCATATTAAGACGACAGGGTCAAAACAAATTTAATACAATTATTTTATTTCCTCAATTTTAGGGATTATTCTTCTACTCCTACGATAATACCGCAATCCAAATCCTAATAAACTAGCCACTCCTTCTCCCCAAAGAAAAATAAATGTGAATTGATTTGGATTGATCAACTCCTCTTTGAAGAAGATTTTGGAGTGGGGAATGCTATAAATTAACCTTAGCATTCTAGTCTTTGTATCCATTAATTTCTCCGACTATTTATTGCTTTTTTTCAGCCATGTTTGCAACTGAAAGTTCAGACGTCAAGAATACAAGTCATCGTTGCGAGAAGATATGTATCGGGTTGTTGTGCCTGTTGTTCATTGCTGGTGCTTACACCATTTTCTTTATCCGGATGAGAGGGTACACAGACCCCAAATTCAGCGTCAACGGTGCTTATCTTAATCGAGTCAATAATTATACCGAAATCAATCATACTCTCCCCTACAATCTCGTCCTCAACATCACCCTCACAAACCCTAACAAGAAAGTCGACTTTGAGTGGAGTGACACCCAAGTCATTGCATACTATCAAAATGAGAGATTTGGTGTTGTGACTTTGATCGATAGGTGGAAATCGATTCACCAAGACCCCAAGAACACAACTATTTTTCAGAATGTCCTTATTCAAGGGTGGAAGCCTCTGCTGTTTGAGGAACATGTGCTTCCCAATGTTACTTACCATTACCGTATTGACCTAGTGATTGCTTTCCATGACAATATTCATCAATCGTTTGCCGAGGTCATGTGCAACCTAACTGTTCCACTGAATTTTAATGTAACATCTTGTGATGGTTTCAACACAACAAAGTGCTCCTATATTCAATTTAAACTTGAGCATAATTAACTAGGCTCCTAAAAATTAAGGAGGAGCTCCTCCTTAATAATTTTAATCATTACTTTCAATTTTCTCCTTGTGCCTTACTTCAAATAGGTTCTTTGATTAATGTTTATTTATTTATTTATTTATTAAGAAAGTTTGTGCTTTCTCCTTAAATTTTTATTTTTATTTTCTTACCTTTAATCCGTTATATTTATTTATTTATTTATTTTTTATGGACAACCATATAGCCCATCGAGGCCAACTCGAACGAAACCATATAGGGCTGAATTAGAAACAGATGACCAACGGTGGAGGAATATGATCTCTTTAACCATGCAGGCTTGATACCGAACTGCATGAACTTTTTTATCTCCTACAGATGACCCGGAACTTCCTCTAATGCGTTTGGCAACCCTATCTGCCCAACCAGCGCATGTAGCCTAGGAGCTCTTCCTCATACAATAATAGAGGATTCTTATCATGGGAAACCCTCCAAACATGGCATTCCCTAAAGGTGTCAGTCTTCCATTGCTATCAAGTGCTTGAAGGATCTTCAAGCAACGCTCAGCTTCATCCAAGGCAGCACCCTCTGGAGGAGTTGGAAATGGAAAATTGGATACCTGGGATGGACACAAAAAAAAGGTCATATACTATAACAGCAGTCCTCCAGACGACAAAGATGAAACACAAGAAACATGATCTCTAAATAACATAATGGTAACAAAATAAAGCATACTTTCAGGTGAAACAAGCCAACGCTGCCCAAGAACTTAATTAGTAAGAACCATCCAAAACCATGAACATTAGAAGATGAATGATACATCTACAAGCATTAAGATACACAAACCAACAGGTTCAGAATGTTTAATTGCATGTTAATAGCTCAAAGTTTGGCCAGGAGACTTTTTGGACCCACCTTATCAATATTCATGGATTTCATGTAAAGTACAACACCATCAACAGGGACTTTAGATATTTCAGCCAGAGAAAAGTCAGGAAATATGTTACTATATGCTGCAGAAGAATACAGACGGTAACAGTATCCAGGCCCGGTTCTTCCAGCTCTTCCTGCACGTTGAGCAGCTGATGCCTTACTTATCCACCGTACTTCATAAATTTCCATGCCATTTGAGGAATTGTAGCTCTTCACTTTCTCTCTTCCAGTATCGACAACGTACTTTATCCCAGGTATAGTTAAAGATGTTTCAGCCACATTGGTGGCCACAACAACGAGCCGTTCTCCTTCCCTGACTTCTTCAAATACACGAAGCTGATCTTTCGCATGGAGCATGGCATAAAGAGGGAGAACATGCAATGTACCTGGAGAAGTATTCTCTTCAACTCCACTCTTTTTTCCCATGCTAGGATTGGATTGGTTGTGGCAAGCTTTTGGAGTAACTGAAATAGGTTGTTTCTCATCAGAGAATTGAAGTTAAATGAAGTTTTTGCGTCTCAAGCTTCAAAAGCGGCCTTCAGTGCAGTAATGCCCCCTTCCTCTCCTAAAAGATTTTCAACATCACCATCAATTTCTGGGCTAGCTTGGATCAATGAGTCGCCATAGTCACCAATAATTCCAGTTCATTCTCTGCTTCTGAATCATATGAATCATCCAACTCATCGTCATCTATATCAAACTGATCTTCATCATTATAGCTAAATCTATCAGTTTGATGGTCCGCCCCACAACAACGAGCCGTTCTCCTTCCCTGACTTCTTCAAATACACGAAGCTGATCTTTCGCATGGAGCATGGCATAAAGAGGGAGAACATGCAATGTACCTGGAGAAGTATTCTCTTCAACTCCACTCTTTTTTCCCATGCTAGGATTGGATTGGTTGTGGCAAGCTTTTGGAGTAACTGAAATAGGTTGTTTCTCATCAGAGAATTGAAGTTAAATGAAGTTTTTGCGTCTCAAGCTTCAAAAGCGGCCTTCAGTGCAGTAATGCCCCCTTCCTCTCCTAAAAGATTTTCAACATCACCATCAATTTCTGGGCTAGCTTGGATCAATGAGTCGCCATAGTCACCAATAATTCCAGTTCATTCTCTGCTTCTGAATCATATGAATCATCCAACTCATCGTCATCTATAT